TGTTATCATTTCTCTAGCCGCAAACGGGACAATATGAACAATGGCGGTCATAACTCTTGTTCTACACGTGGTTTTCGTCAGGTATTTTATCGCTAATTATCCGAATGGGTGGTTTTCTTAAGATGGCCAACGTCGCCCCGAAAAGACATTTCTAAATTCCCATTCACTTCCCTTCGGTACATATTTCTGATAACATAATTTTATTATCGCAGGCCAAGGATGTTCCGTCGAAGGAAATCGGTCAGCGGACACTCGTGGATGGCTTTTAATTTTTTCGTATCTGTCCAAAGTCCTTTTAGTTGCCTGTTTTTCGTCACTTATCGAAATAACATTTTCATTTGAATTTTTTTTGGCCAGTCGGTCTGTAGTTGATAATAAGATGCCTTCCCGTACCAATAGTTTGTTTTCATATCTTTAGATAACACAGCCGTCGCCAAAACATATCTTATTCTTTCTTTCTTTCCCTTTCTTTTTACTCAGAATTTCCCTGTCATTGTAATGACACCCTTTCGCCATTTGTTACTTATCAAAATATCCCTTATCCATTGTCTCTTAGCCGTGTGTGTGTGTTCTGCTTATCATCCACGATTCGGTCCTTAGCCTCTCCTTTTCTTCTTTTCTTTCTTTTCTTTTTCTGACTCGTTAAATGGTGCCACAATTGTCAACATGGACTATGCTGTATTATCCAGATGACTTACACTTCATTTGTCGGATACAAGCACTATTGCTCAACTTCAAAAAACACATTCCTGTCCACCTTCACAATAAGTAGACTTAATATATCTATATTATTCAAGGAAACATATATACAGGTAAATTATCGTTATTAATTCCACGCATGCGCGATTTTTTTTTTTATTTTGACAACTGCACAATTAGTAGGGTCAGTTGGGAGAAAAAAATCACCATGACGCAATTCACTTGCCAAAAAAAATTGTAAACGGCATGCTATACCGCTTGACATTCGCGTCGGAAACTCAGCCGAACGATCGAACATATTTATTGATAAGTATGGCAGAGTAGACGATGAAGTTTAAATCAGGATTTTTTTCCGTGGGCGGGGAAAAACATGAATTTTAATGATAATTTTAAGTTTGTACATTAATAATTAGAAATTCTGAATGTAGATACACATAGAAAAAAAATCGAAATTCTTTTAAAAATATTCGGCATAGAATTCGGCTTTACAATATATACTTAGAAAATATGGTTTTATTTAATAACAGTATTTCATAAGAGTTATTATATTGAAATTGAATTTTGAAAAATTTTAAAAACTTTATAAATTATTCAATTTCAAATTGTAAAAATATGAAAACAAATATTGTAAAAATTCCATTTTCATCGAATTTTCTTAATCAGACAATATTGTGTTTAATATATATTATACAAAACAGAAATTATAAGCTTCTCAAATTAAATAAATGTCTTACTCTGCCGTTTTTACGTTTGGATTAACAATAGGGTCCAATATTGCCGAAAAAATTTCATGTTTAAATTCATCAAATAAATCTGATTTTATCTAATATAGTCACTAATTAATATCACGTTGAATTTCTCAAGTTTTCATAAAAATTAAATAAAGGACTGAAACATAGGTAAAAAAGATATTTTTAACAATATCTACTAATAACTTTCAGAAATAAAATAATTAATTTGTAAATAATTTCTAAAAATTTCATTAAAACACGACATTTATTTCATTTATACTTGAATTTCTAAATCAATATGTCTGTCACACAAAAAGAAGCTAAAATTTACTTTGCTAGAAGAAAAAAAAAATATATATAAATATATATAATATATATATATATAATATAATATATATATAATATAATAAATATATATATATATATATATATATATATAATATAATATAATATATATATAATATGTATATATAATATAATATATATATATAATAATATATATATATATATATATATATATATATATATATATAATATAATATATATATATATATATATATATATATATATATATATATATATAATTGTTACTTTGCCGGAAAAATAATTACCAATTATTCGGACATATATCAAAAAGAGCTCGATGCCTTGAAAAAAGTCATATGCAAGTTTGTGGGCGCTTGTATAAAGTATTTTTTGCATTTTATGATATACATATATATACACAAACATATATATATATATATCTGTATCTATATATATATATATATATATATATATATATATATATATATATAATACTAGCAGGCTTCGCCCAGTAAGATATATTCATTACTTGAGATCTTTGAAACAGAAATATTAAACGGACATTTCACTCATAAATTGGCTTGCTATATTTAAGGAAATTGTTACAAATAGATGCCAACTTGGTGAAAGCCAAGTAACATGCATATTTCTAGCACTTTTCTGCACTATAATAGATTATATTTTGAAGCAGAACTATTTTTGATATGAAAATCAAAACAATCCTCGAATAAAAGAACATTAACGAAGAGCAGTTAATTAATGAAATAAACTTTTCTTTAAATCAATATGCCAATTAGTTAACTTGAAGAGTGACATTGCCTAGAAGTATATAGCATAAAATACAGATATAGATTATTGCTATCAAGCAGTTTGTAACACGTTCATTTATAATCTCTCATTTTACGTGATTATATTTGTGCAGAATTGTGTCACATATTGAACCCGTGGGAGTTAAGTAAATACCGCTGGCCAGGGAGCAGGAAGCCTTCCTGATTCGTGACTTTGACGCGCACAGTCAAGTCGACCAAGCCCAGCAGCTGACGAGACCCAGCAGCAGTAGCAGCAGTTGTTCAAACTGTCCTTTTCAGGTCTAACTTCCGAAAGTCATTCGATCACCACTCTTCAAGGCTCCACTCACTCCACTCTTTGCTACTGCCTTCCCGCTGAGTCCCCAGATCACTCCCGCAGCTTCCAGCACTCCTGCAGCTTCCAGGTCACTCCCGCAGCTTCCAGCACTGCTGCAGCCTTCAGCTCACTCCTGCAACTTCCAGCTCACTCCTGCAGCTTCCAGCACTCCTGCAGCCTCCAGCTCACTCCTGCAGCTTCCAGCAGTCTCCAGCTCTCTCCTGCAGCTTCCAGCACTCCTGCAGTTTCCAGCTCACTCCTGCAGCTTCCAGCAATCCTGCAGCTTCCAGCACTCCTGCAGCCTCCAGCTCACTCCTGCAGCTTCCAGCACTCCTGCAGCTTCCAGCAGTCTCCAGCCCACTCCTCCAGCTTCCAGCACTCCTGCAGTTTCCAGCACTCCTGCAGTTTCCAGCTCTTTCCTGCAGCTTCCAGCACTCCTGCAGTCTCCAGCTCACCCCAACAGCTTCCAGCGGCCTCCAGCTCACCCCTGCGGCGCTCTACTGACGTCCCGCTACCTATTCCACCATCCGCTGACGATCTAATCCAGTGCCCACTGACGTCCAGCGCCCGTTAACGTCCGGACACCGTTCCCGAACAAACGACCCCTGTCGTCTTACCATCCACCGTTCGCAAATAAAGATACGATTTCCATCGTCTACAACGGACCATCTGCGTTTGTCATCCTTCTTTGCTATTGCCATCTCCTTGCCTTTGTGTCCCCTATTTTAGTTGTACGGTCGATTGGCACTCACACCTCTCGGCCCGCTGCAACACCATACGTAGTCTACCAGTAATACTGGATGAAACTAAAATAAAAGCTTATGTTGATACTTTTATAGTGAAAAAAAAATCAATAAGGTGGAAATAAAAGAATGAAAAGGAAACCGCACGCTCCATTAAAAGGAAGAGATAGTCTACGGAATTGTATGAAAAACGCAAAAAGTATATACAGTGTAACCCGGATTTAAGAGAGTTGTCGGGACCAGAGAAGAAGTCTCTTATATCCTGGTTTCTCTTATGTCCGGATTTGGTCTGTGATATATACATTAACACAGACTCTAATTTGGGACCAGAGAAAATATCCCTTATATCCGGGTTTCTCCTATCCAGGTTACACTTACCAGAAATTGTTGGAAATATTTTACTCCGGTCCGATTTCCAAAATACCAAAATATATGTATATATTTAAATGATTTGGTCTCTCATTCCTATTTAAGCCTTCCGTATTTTATATATATATATATATATATATATATATATATATATATATATATATATATATATATATATATGCGTGTGTGATTTCATGTGTACGTCACGCCAATTAAACTGTTATAGAAGATGAAAGTAACAAAAATTAAGACATTGTGGTAGCTAATATGACCTTCATTATATGTAAAAACGATTTTGTTACGACTTCAGTATCAGTTACACGGCTTGCCGTAAAAAGTATTCTGGTCGAGAAAGACTTGTGCACTGTTTTGTAAATAGATAATAACGCTTAAAAGAGTCAGATAAAATAATCTTATCGAATAATGCAATTAAGAAAATTATAGAATACTGAAGGAAATGAACAGGAAACACATCTACGGAAAGACATAAAATATAATATACATTATAGTCAAATATATGTATTTCTCAAGGCGATTTCATTATCATTAAAAAAATCGTTGAAAATATATTTCAAGTAAGATTTGATTCTGCTGCATTATTTGCCATAATTCTCATTTTTATGTATCTCTTAGATTTATATTAAACTTTGTTTTTTTTTTCTTATTCATCCTTTATTGTCTTGTTCCTTTTAACATTCTATGGAAATTGAATAAGGAAAGTGTGTGATTAAAATTAGTCATCAGTGAGAAGACTTTCGTTAGAAACAAAGAAAAGAGTACTGAAATGATATGTAATATCATCCCTCCTATATGGAAGTCAATATTTCTCACAGCTGAGGACGAGACTTTAAGCTGCAGATATGATGTTCTACAGAAGGATGCTAAGAATACCATGAACCTAACATATAAGCAACGTCGAAGTATTCGATAAAATGGCAACAAAAAAGACAGTAACACTGTCATCAGAAACAGTTGAAATATCTAGGGCACATAACAAGGAAAGAGGGTTCGGAAAATCTGATACACACAGAATAGAGAATAAGGATAAAGACAGTGACAAAGAAACGCATAACTTCCCTAGGGAACTTGAATAAGTTGTGGAAATACCTGATCGCCAACGCCCTAAAAGGACACGGCATTCAAAAGAAGATATTTCATTCGAGTCCGGATTCGATTTTAGATGCGTCTTTCCATATGATATGACTAGAATTGAGGAAAGTGATATATCTCATATAAATTCTTTTCGCCCCAAAGCATATGGGAGATTAAAATACGTTACAAAACTAAAACCATGTTATGGATGCGCCGAATTACATTTCAAGACGAACTGCCCTTTTAAGAACAAAAAAATGTTTCGATTGTGAAAATGTGGAACACACGAGTTTGCATTGTAAAGTTATGAAAAGAATAAAAGTTATAATTCAAGAGTACTGTAAACGTAGCGTCGACGACAGACAACGGTCAAAAAAGGAATATTTATAACCGCAAAAATAAATGGAAGAAATATAAAGTTTTATGCACGGTGTAGTAATGGTACGCAAATCGGATTGAGGAATCAGAGAACCGAGTTCGAATTCAAGTTGAATCCATTACATTCACTTACGTGCTAATATCCTTGGAAACGGTATGAATGAGTAAATAGCAGGACAGACTGGGATCCTATAGCCTTAGGTGTCAACTGGTCTTCTGGTACCGCAGACAGAAATGGCAACCTACTGCGGGAAAAATATGTCTCGTCAGTCATATATTGATAATACAGGATCGCCTAAGCTTGTATCATGCATGACATATAACTGATTGATCATAAGTATTGTTGGATTAAATTAAATCTAACGCAATCTATTCTATGTTCAGTTTGCCTTTTTCTATACTAAATTTAAATAGGTGTTCCATACATTAAGTTATTTACAGTGTTTAGTATTTAATAATTTCGCGTAGTTTTAAAATTGCTCGAATCATAAAAGTTAACATGGGCCAAAGTAGTAAAATAATATTTCGTTTATTTTAAAACCCCAGCCACCAATATTGTAACTTCAGGAGCAAATAAAATAGAGCACTAAGAAATCGGTTTTCTGTCGTTTCGCATGCAAGATGTGACGAGCGGGCCGTTCGATTAAATATCTGTCACCTTGGCAACTAAAAAAAAGCACCCATTTTTCTCTTTTGCAAGGCAGATACAGCCTTCATTTAATGGTTAAAAGAATTAAAATATTATGTATATATTCTGATATAGAAACGGAACGAAATTTATGAAAGTGAACTCCTGAGAACACGGGGAAATATTGTATTAGTTGAAAGAGTCTCGTTTTCAGTGAACTTAGTGTGTCAAAGCATTAAGCCAAGTTCAATAATTACCCATTATTTTCTTTGATTCGTTACATAGGAAGAAAAATATTGTGTCAAAAGGAGTGAAGTCATATTTGTAGCATTGATGTTAAAAATTCTTTGGGTGAATATTCTGACTTTTGAGAGAAAAATTCTCGAAAGTTTCAGTCACAATAAATCCAAGATGCCATCATTTGTTTGCGTAGCGTAAAAGTTTTTGAAGGGTTCTAATCGTCTGATAGTGATTACCGATATTAAACAAGTACCTCATTTTTATGGTGATTTTCTACGCATAGTTGTATAGCACTGTATTTACCCGCCACTGAGTCAGATTGTGACACAAGGTTGGTTTTTAACATGGGGACTCGAGTGTCATGACTCTGGCCGCTGGTCTTACATGGTCATATCTGGTCCAAGCGCAGGGACGGATTCTTGTGACCGGTAAAAATCAGAATGTCTATACCACTCGGGAAAGAGAAATTTACACACTTAATTTAGATGTGGGACACGGGCGAGAGTATGGCGCATTTAGTGAGGATCGAACTCCCTATTCAGTCGTAAGTATTCTATCGAGACAGGCTTGCTAAATATTACATATCGTCAATGTACAAACGGTTAATTTCTAAGATGTAGCACAAGTCTGAGCGTATAAGGCGCACATTGAGGGCCGAAGTCACTCCTCAGTCGAAGTGTTCTAACGAGACAGACTTGCTAACCATTGCACCACGTTGAGGTGGTTTTCTAAGCGTAGATTAGAGGTGGCGTATGTCCAGAAGTATGGGGCACCCAGTGAAAATTGGACTCAGATAATCAGTGTTAAGTGCTCTAACGAGACAAGGATGCTTATCATTACCGAACGCCGAGTTTAGCAAGTTAGTGGTTTTTATGCGTCATAACGACATCAGTGTTACGAGGCAATCAATTCTTTATTTCTGAGAGACCTTGGAAAGCTTAGTTACTGGCTGGGTGGAAAATGAGGGATTGAATCAGGTAGCTTTTCCCGACTACATCACACTTAAATAATTTGAGGTTTATATTCGTGTTTTGCGCTAAATTTTGATGTGAATAATTTTCTTGGTGTTGCTGTGTTAAAGCCAGAAATATGCGAATCGAAATAGTTCAACAAAACGTACACAGCCGCTCTAGTCATTAAAACATGGTATTTCCTGTTTCAAATATGTACTCAGAACTGTTCAACCTCAGCTTTTTACATGTGTAAACAAAATATATGAAAGGATAAAAATACATTTTATACTAAAATTACCAGAAATATATTTTTATTTAAAAAAAGAAATATTAACAATACGTTTTAAAGCAATATAAAAAAAAGAAAAAAAAAAGCTGTAACAATACATTTGTAAAGCACCATGACTGGCATTACATTTTATCTATGGTTGAAATCATAAAATTGCGTTCAAATGTATTTACTTGAAGCCATCAATTTTTTTCGAAATATTTGCATTTAAATAAGGCATAGAGATTAATACGACGCTAAACAAAATCAAGCAAACAAAAAGCCTAAAAGAACTCCTTCATGATATTAAGACATATAATATCCGACAATTTCTTAAATCAAACTGTATTCCAAAACAAAACTACATCATAAAAGAAATATCCTCAACATTAATAATTATTTCTCCACAAACGCGTATATGCACAAACGCTGAATATCAGCTACTCTGTATTAATTTGTGAAAGCAGAACAACATGACAATTTTATTACTTCAAAACCCCCAAGGAAATTAAATCTTGCCATTAAATGACCCACACGGAGGTGATATACCATTAAAAAAATTCATTCAATCAATCGAATATATATAATGATCAAACATATAGCATATAAATATAATGTAGACGCATCAATTCCTGTTTATGTATCTAATATCCTACACATGAATACTACTCTAAATTTTACTGGGTTTTCACTTGATTTAGCTATATACATAATATATGAAAGCTATTAAACAAATGATTAGTTAAGAATGTTCCCGGTCTTATATTTTTCGGCACTGGTGAAAATTCATTCTTGTTCCCACGTAAATGCCTATATATATATATATATATATATATATATATATATATATATATATATATATATATATATCAAAAGTATGTTTGTGTGTCTATTAAGTCTGTC